CCATTCAACTTAATCTGGGGACAATTGTGTAACTGCTGGATTTTTAGCTTTCGCGTGTTTCCTCACACTGGTCTAACGCTGACCATACAGAACGGTACAAGGTAAAGGCAGCTGGACTCATTCTTTCTTCTTTCAGCAAATGTTTATCAAGAGCCCACACCTGACAGATACATTGCTAAGGTGCCAGGGATGTGGTGTGAACGATCCAGGCAATGTTGCTGAGGAGCACGTAGCTTCTAGGTTAGGAGAGGAAAGGCAGTGAGCAGAAGGAAGAATCCTTTCTTTTGCCTTCAGTGAGCTACAGATGCTACACTGAAACATACTCAGAAAAGTGCCAAGTCATATAAAGAGGAACGGGACAAGTGCAGCAGGGTTATGTTTTATATGGATATAGATGATTTCCAAAGAGGTATGGCAGCTGAAGTCTTTATAGGAATTCTAGTCTGATCCAGAAATACTCTGGAACATCCAAAATTTGAAATTCTCTTTCTACCAGATAAAATTATTTTCTAAAAAACAGACTATTGGGGGCCTATACAGTATTCCTCACCTTGTCCAATGTTCATCTGTCTTTCACAGTTGCAATATTTATATCCTTACTTGCTTTCTATTAAAGTTTACTTCACAATTTTTTATACAGGACAAACAATGATTACTGAAAATTATAAGCAGACAATGGGATTCTGAAAGTCATTTTTTCTTCTATTTCTGTGTTTTGAAATATTTCTTATATTTTCAAATATTTCTTAAAAGAAGAAACTGAGGCTCATAGGGGTTGAGAGATTTTCCCAAGTAATTTTCTATACCCAGTTCCTCCTTCTGAAACACTTGTGGTAGGAAAATCACCTACCTGGCTGGTTCTGAAGCAGACCTGGTCAGTAAGCAAAAATAGAAAGGCCCCATCCTTGAAAATTATCACCGATATTTCTAACTAGGGGTCTACTTTGGTGAGAAAACTCCTATCACACTCCTTTAAATGGCTCTGTATTCTGTATTTTTAAAAGAAATAGAATGTTTTTGATGGGTCAGGCCGATCCAGAACGCATGTTTATCATTATATTAACCATCACTTTTTCTTTTTTTCTAAATTGGCTCCTGACACTAATGTAAGTAAAAAACAGCTTCTTGATAAAGATCTCTTATGGCAACTTCAAGGTAAAAACCTCCCTCCAGCCTCTCCATATCCTCTCCCCTGCATAGAAACATTTCTGTTTAGGAAATAGGGAATAATTTAGCTTTCAGTGTAATTTTCTTTTCGGCTGACTGAAGATATACGAATTTATTATTGAATAACAACCTGGATGTAACAAATCTAATGGTAAGCATGCTACTTTTAGAAATATACAAAGAGAACTGAAAAGAGGCATACACTACACATTAGAAAACATTAAACTCGGAGAGGTTCAATACAGAATCTCTAAGGCCCAATCCTGAAAGTGAAACGAATGAGATTGCTGTAGGGTAGTGTGAAAAAAAATTACAGCAACCATATGCCTCTGATTTTTCAAAACAGTCTTAATTTCAAATATTTGTTCCTATTGTTATACCACATGACGGCTTTTCCTTAGAGAATTGTGTCACTGCAAGAAAGTGTAATTTTGAAACTAAGGTTCCAGTGGTTTATAGGACATATTGTCTGGACAATAACAAAACCACCACCAAACATTTACCTTCCTCTGACCCCTTGATCTCTGCACCCTATTATTAGTCTTGTACTTTCCAGGAGACACTAATGGTATCATTTCACACTGTTGGGGATATTAGTTTAACTCCTGCCTCTCAAGTCTTGCTAATTCTATCTCACTCCAAGAGCCATGACCTAGAGTGACCACCATAACCAGTCTCTTCTCTTGGCTTCTCTCCACCTTAATGGAGAGCTGGTTATTGTTGGAAGAACTGCATTCCCGGCAGCCCCTCAAGCCATGGCTCTTCCTCCTCTCCTCACCACCACCTCAGGTCCTCGGGAACATGAGCTCAGGGGTCCTCCTGGCTCTTCATTTCCCTTCCCTGGTATTATCCACACTTAATGTATTAAAAAATGCCCACTTTTTTTTTTTCACAGTTTCTTCCTTGCTAGTGGAAAAACTTGCCTCCTGGTATGCATTCCTCTCTGGAGAGGAATTTCCTGGAGAATTTTCTGGCAGTCAGGTACAGTGAAGTCTGCCCATGATACTAAAGAGGGATTGTGGAGGGCGCGGTTAAACCAATAAGTGAGGAGAAAAAGTGTGGTCAGAATGGAATTCTTCAACGAGTGATTTGAGAGGTGGGGGGATTTGAGATGGCAGAAATGTCATATAAAGTGAGAGAGGTCACTGGAGATGAGGGGGCTCAGTGGAGACGAGTGTGGCCTAGCTTAGACAGTACGAGGGAGAAAAAATACGAGTGGGTAGGAATAGAAGTGTAGGCAAGAACTGAAAGACCCTCCTCTCTGATGGCACCTATTTATTTTTTCAAGAAGTTCTTTAAAAGAGAAGTGGATAGTTTGGAAGTATGAAGAGAGGATACATGTCAAGACTTGAAATAACATTGTGAAGAATGTTCTAGTGGTTGGTCAGCGAAGCAGGAAGGGCATTGCAGAATGCCCATTGCCTAACTGCTGTAAGTGGTCCCTCTGTTCTAGGAAGTTCATCTGATTACCTCCTCTGAGTCAGTCACTCTATACTTTAGGGTAACATCAGAATGACCTGGAGGGCTTGATAAACATAGATGGCTGGGGCCCACTATCCTAGAACGTCTGGTTGAGGACTTCAGGAAGTGACCCCAAGAATTTGCATTTCTAACAGGCTCCAGGGCGAAGCTGCGGCTGCTGGCTGTGAGACGGCACTTTGAGAAGCACTGCTCTCAATCCTTCTCCATTCTAATAGCTCCAACTCCAAAATCCCTGAATTTGGTCCATTTCATATTGTATGTATATATACACAAACCTCTTAAAAGCAATCTAGATCGAACTTACTGATTTATTGCATCACTTTTCTGGTTCTCCAAGTTCCTTCAACAGATTTTCAAGATTCACAATAAACTTAACCATCTGGCGTTATTTACAATGTATTTCATCATAACCCTTTTCTAGCTAGGCATTTCCTTCATGTTTCATATAATTCCCACCCGCCCCCACCACTACTCCTATCTTCATACTTCTTCACAGTAATCTAAATTTGACCCATGGCTCAGAAAAGTTCTCTTTTATAAAGATACCTGGGTTCTGGCCCAAACTGCTGCCTTCCTTTACCATTGATTTTTGCTTTTTAATAATTTTAAAAAATTCTCACTTATCTGTATAAACCAACAGTAAACTACTTGATGAGAGGAGTAAGGCCTTCATATCCCCCATAAAGTGTTCAACATAGTACTAGAGACATTATGGGTGTTCAGCGGATCTTATTGTATAAAATTCTTATGTATAAAGAAAGTTCATATAAAATGAATGGCAGGTTACTGTCAGTTATATATTCCTATTTATTACTACATAGAGATCACATATGTGACCTTCTTTAGGGTGCAGAATACATTTTTAAAAGGCCGTTGACTACATCTCAAAACCAATGTGTGAAAAATGCAAAAAACTGCTAGGTGAATAAATAGGGCATGCTTTCTGCTTGTTTGTTGCCTATCCAATGATGCCTCTTCATGTATTCTGAGTATTATATTCTTCGTAAAACATAAAAGAACTATAATGGGCTTTTCTTCATAGTAATACAGGGAAACGATTTTTCCCAGTTTGGTTAACTTGAATTGATGAATGTAAAATAATAATAAAAGAGGTTTCCATTAAGCAGAAAATTTATACCTAGACAATTTATTTAATTTTCCTACTCAGACTAAAGTCACAATCAGAATTGCTTCCTACCTTAGTTCTTTGCTTTATCTTCTGATAGTGAGATTGATATGCACTGAGGTGGAACTACTGATACCTTCTTTGATATTGATCAAAACAATGATTGACTTTGTATATTACCATAAAGACCATTCCCTTTATGTACCTACACTGCTTATTATTACCGACATCAGGCCTATAAGATTCCTAAAATATCTTGTCTAGTAAAATATTATACACATTTTATTAGCTTCTAGCAAAATGTTGATTGTGAACATTCAACAAACAATTACCAAATATAGGGGAGACAGAAAATAGAAATTAAATCCATGTGTTTATTTTTGACATCTGCCAAATAAAATTAAGATTTGTCCCTGGCTGACTGAGGGGAATAACAACAAAATAATAAAGGGTTTTTATATCTTTGGAAGTTTATCTTAAAACAGCCGAATATTAACAGCAAAACATTTTCTATGGAATTTTCTCTTTTTCATTCTTTCAATTTTTTTCAAAGTGAGGTGCCAGAAAAATAGTCTGTATTTTTGGCCCAATTCATCATGTGATTCTTCCAAGTTTTCCAGTTTCTCAGTCATATAACTCTTATTGCCCCCAAGTAGTCCAGATCTATGTTTGTGTAATACGGGACCTCCAGGGAATTTATCTTTACAGGGAAGATAAATTAGAAATTTTGCATAGAGTGCCCTGGATACCAAGTCTAATACATCATAGGACCAGAACTATATAAAAATTACCAACATGTTTCCTTTTTGCCTCCCAGCTAAAGAAATAAGTCAAGAGAATGGCTACTGTTAGTCAGATGGGGACACACTCATAGGATAGAAAGCAGAAAGGCTCTTTGGACAGAGAAGTTGCCTTTACTTACTGAATGTCTTCCTGATTGCATTTTCTTTCTTTCTTTCTTTTTAAACATTTTTTATTGATTTATAATCCCTGATCACAGTTTTTGAACAAGGCTACACACTTTTGAGAAAGAATGGGAACTCTCAGAAGAGGTTTGTATTCCACATGTCATCATTGTTCTTTTCATAATACTCTTCCACCCAAATCATATTTAGTGAAATTCCTTTAGGGTTTGTGACAGGGTTTGGCAAGGCTTTGCATGAGGTTCATTTTAATGCTACTGGGCAAAGGACGATACCATCACACAAAACGAGTGACCACATACCAACTGCTGTCATGTAATCCCAGCGCTCAACGAGGCACATATTGAAGATGAGGTGATCTGATGTTTGCCCTTGGCCAATGAGTGAAATCTGCCTCTCCAAATTCTGGCAAACGGATGAAGTCCAGCCAACGAGAAACCAAAATACTACCAGGAGTATTACTGCCAGCATCCTCATGACCCGTCCCCCCGTCATGTATGGAATCCGTTGCGCTGTTCGTGAAAGAAACACCTTCAAAACCCTGGAAAAGTAAGACATCAAAATGTGAGGGCAAACCTAACACTCAGAAAGCAAAACTCTAAAATCTCATTTTTCTAGGTGAAATTTAAACCCACCCAAACCTACATATGTAGAGTTTTAACATTAAAAAAAAAAGAAACAGTATTGCTTTTATTTTTACTTAATTTCATCCAGTTTACTTCCAATAGCAGAACAAATATCTTGCATTAGAGGCCAATGAGTCAATAGATTTGTATAGGATGGAATTCTTTTGAGTACGTCTTAATATTTCAAGGAAAATTCTCAAGACCTTAGAAAGATCCATAGGGCAACATTGTACAAACAGGGTTTCTGAGGGATCAAAAAATAGTCCTGAAAGTGAGTAGTTGGGTTTTACAGCATTATACAAAGACAAAAACTTCCTTAAATCAGTTATTTTCATAGTAGAATGCTATAAAGGTATTTTCTGATAATCATTTTATACAGCTTCCCTTTATAGTCATTTTATCACATTACCAAAAATAGTAAGTATGAAACAGTAAGAGGGGTAGTTAAATACCCCCCAGTAAGATTACTGCATTGAGGAAGAGGATTGTGATATGATTTATAAGAAGTGTAGTGATTTTTAAAATTTACATTTTCTTCTTCCATATATAGGACTCACACGAATAGCCAGGGTTGAGAACTACCAGATTAGGTGAGATCTAAGAACTATTCCACCTCTAAACATGGGGTGAAGACAAAATCCAACCTTATTATAGGGATCTTTTCAGACACACGTTCTTTAATTTCATCTGCAAAATATTCTTAGCTGGTTTTAACTCCCCACTCATATTCTGGTATTTTAGGTCACACAATTATGAGTTTATATGAACTACCATGATGGTTTATGATACCATAATCAATTTCCAAAAGGCAAAAATAAATTTCTCTTCCCAACTCTATTTCCTCCTCCATTTCACTCTTTCAACATTTTAAATGAAACATTTATATGAATTAATCATAAAATCATTATAAATCTGGAAATGAAACAAATACACCTGAGACAGTCTAGATGTATTACACTGTTTTTCCTTCCTATGTAGACCCTTAGTAGCTCTCCCTGAATTAACACATCTAGTAAAGAAAGTTATTTTCCAGCAGATTCTTTTTTATTCCCCTTAATCCCTGCTATAACTTTAACCTCACTGTCCTTCAACTAACTCATAGGATAAAGGTATTTAATTGTGAATAAAATACTTATCCTCAAGTTTTATGAGGAACAATGTCAGAAAGGTATTAATATACAATAAGAGTAGAAAGGAGGGCATGTTAACTACTCACCATTTAACTACAGATGGTCCCCAACTTAAGATGGTTTGACTTATGGTTTTTTGACTTTATGATGGCACAAAGGGATATGCATTCAGTAGAAACTGTACTTCAAATTCTGAATGTCGATCTTTTCCCAGTCTAGTGACATGTGGTAGATACTTTCTCATGATGATGGGCAGTGGCAGAGGGTGGCAGCTCGCAGTCAGCCATGTGATCACGATGGTGAACAAGGGATATACTTTCAACCGTCTGTACCCATTCAACCATTATGTTTTCCCTGCTTCCAGTACAGTATTCACTAAGTTACATGAAATATTCAACACTTTATTATAAAGTAGGCCTTGTGTTAGATGATTTTGCACAACTGTAGGCTAATGTTAGTGTTCTGAGCATGGGTAAGGTAGGCTAGGCTAAGCTATGATAGTCCTCAGTTAGGTGTATTAATGCATTTGTAACTTATGATATTCTCAATTTACAATCAGTTTATCTGGGCATAACTCCACTGTAAGTCAAGGAAGAGCTGTAGTTCACCAGATTAGCAGTTGTTCTCCATTCCCGCTGTAAAACACTGAGTACAGCCCATGCCATGCTGAATGCTAGTGCTGGCAGCCAATGTGGTACCCCTGCCTCATATGCTCAAACGCTTCTGCTCCAAGTAGCTGAATTGCTACTTGTTAAGAATCAATTGTATTTGTCCCCAGATTATGCCCATTGTTGTCATCTTTTTAAAAATTGAAGAATAGTTGATTTATAATATTATATTAGTTTTAGGCTACAACATAGTGCTTCAGTATTTTTATAGATTATACTCCATTTAAAGTTATTATAAAATAATGGCTACATTTCCCTGTGCTGTACAATATATCTTTGTTACTTATCTATTTTATACATAGTAGTTTGTGTCTCTTAATCTCATACCCCTTTTTTACCCCTTCTCTTTCCCTCTCCCTACTGGTAACCACTAGTTTGTTCTCTGGATCTGTGAGTATGTTTCTGTTTTGTTATATACATTAGTTTATTTTTTAGATTCCACATATAAGTGATAACAGAGTATTTGTTCTCATTTTGCATGATTTAACTAAATTGAGTGTGAAAGCAAAGGAGGCTTATTTGTATGAAATTATTTTGAATGCCTTGGAAAGACTCCATAAAGGCAAATCACTAAAAGAAGCTGTTAATTCAGGGGAAAGTGAGATAATTTTAATATACTGGGGTGGTCAATAAGCATAAAAATCTAGAAGGAGTCTACACTCAGATTACCTCAAAAAAACCCCACAACTCTTTAGATTCTTGCTCCTACTTAAAGAACCAACACTGAACAGATAATACATTGCAGGGATTTATGCTAGAGAGAGAACAATGCATTCAAAACGTTAGATCCATAGTCAAAGGAAAGGTCTTCTTTCAAAAATATGGGTAAAGGATTACTTGTATTTTAGATTACAGTGTATATGCACTTTTTAATCCCTTTCCAGTTTAAACAACTTTAAACAATTACTAATCCAATAAGAAGGCTTCTATTATAATCAGCTGATCAATATTCAAAGAACTCTCTGTCTTAGAAATGAGAGCAATTTCTTAGAAAATTAATATTTTTGCCAGTGCCAATCTTACTTTCTGTATAAGAAATCTGCACCCACTATGACACATAAATGTTTCTCGTTGCACCTGGATGAATTCTAAATTTTGAATGACTAAGGTCTCAAAAGAGAGAATCTGACCCATTTTTCTGCTCCTCTATATTTTGGATACACCCAAACGAAAAAGAAGAGAAATGTTTCAAATTCTATCTTGACTGCACTTGAATATCTGAAATGTAATTATAATGAACAAACGTTTATGTAGTGACAATCGTATGTGAGTTATCATGCTAGGCAACATGGAAGTCTTAGGATATGACCCTTGTCTTCTAGAAACTTACAATCTGACTAGAAATAAGTATGTAAATAGCTACCATATAAAACAGCATACATTATGTGTTGTTATATGTAGCTAGTAAGTCCAGTAACCCCACAGAATAGGTGATATTTGGACTGGGCGTTGATGGATATCAATAGGTAGAAACAGGGAAGTGGGGAAGAAATAAGGAGATATTCCAGGTGAAGGGAATCACATAACAGAGTACAAAGCAGGGAAATGTAAGTTGTCTTTGAAGGCCAGTGGGTGGAAATGTTTGGCAAGAGGGGAAGTGTTTTTGCTTTTGTTTTTTCTCAACCCACAGGAACTCCTAGGGATTTTTCTAGTTATTTTGAGGAGTTTTCACTGGATTGAGAATCACCGCTCCAGGGGAAAATAGTTATGATTTATATTTTTTTTCCATGGCCAAGATGTGGGAAATCATTTATTTTTCTGATACTTGAAGATTTTCACAATCCACATAGAAACTCTATACCTCAAAGTGAGTGAACAGTGGATTTTTAAAATAACCATCTTTAAAGTACTTCTTAACCAGATGAGTTTGTCATTTGCAGAGGAAATCTATATGATCCCAGTTTGGTAATCTTTTAATCAAGAAATCCCACTTCTAAATTATCAGAAATATTCATGTTTTCCAGATGACTGTGTGGGTGTTTATTATATAGCCTAGGAGTTCAAGATTGTCACAGATCCCGTAATCTCGTTTCCAGAGAGGAAAAACCAGAGCAAAGCCCTCCTGAGTCTCCTGTTATTGATTTTACTGGCTTTCAAACATTAGAAAACACAACAACATAACTCCACCCTACAATCTAAGCGTTTCAGGATATTGGTTTTTGTAAAATGGAGTAAGATACATTTTTCTAGGATTGCCTTAAAATAAAATGAGAAAATTCTTCTATATCTTTTAAAAAAGAGCTCTTGTTAGTCTACATAGGTTCACTGTCTAGAAACCAAGTTCTAAAAATGAAATCCTTAGACACGCAATTATTTGAAATACAGCTGTAGGGAAAAATGCAATCATTAAATTTCTTATATAGATTAATTTTTCCACTATTTTTTTCATAGATAAATCTTTAAGCTACCATCTGTTTGGAAGGTTTTTACTATTTCTGAAGGAAAGCAGTAACATATACAAGAAGGCTGCAAAAAACTTCCAGAACTTAATATAAACAGGTATATTTAAAGTATCTTTTCAATTCTCATTATTAATATAGTTAATAAATTCATAGAAATTATGTTGAAATGATGAAAAAAAAAAAGGTGCAGCCCAGGAATTGGCTATCATGATATTGCCTGCCTCTACTTTTTCCCTTTCTGTACGTTTCTGGTTTGAGCCCATAAAATTCTTCGGTAACGACTTGTACTTAGGTTATTGGTTATCTTCTTCAAATATCTAACTGATATTCTTTCTCTTGTTTAACCTGATCTCTCTCCAGCTTTTGGCATGGTGGAAGCACGTGGCTTCCAGTAGGTCACAGTCTCTTGATTTTCTTCCTACTCTTCACTGATCAACTTTTTAGTCTGTATCACAGAGTCCTCTGCCTCAGGCTTCCCTTTAAGTAACTGTGTTCCTCAAGGATCCCCTAAACACAGTCAGCTATATTTTTTTTTCCTATGGTGGTCCTGGGGATTGAACCCAGGACCTTGCACATGCCAAGCATATGCTCTGCCACTGAGCTACACCCCCTCCCCCATCTTCCATTCTCACTCTACACATTACATGTAGGCAATTCCATCACTGCCCTGTTTCCATTATTTATATCCTCAATCTGTGTCTTCAGTTTAGATCAT